GCTGACGACGCCGACGTGGAAACGTCTGTGAATGTGTCTAGCCCAGGGTCTGATGCTGAAAATTATCGTTGGTACTAAGACTGAATACTCAGGACAAGATAGGTATATCGAGGTCATGTTGACAGCGCGATCAAATTGGGAGAACGAGATAAGGCCACATCCATACAGCGAAATGAGATTGCGGCCAAAATAGAGGCGATAGTGTCTTGATCTTCATACTTTCAATTAAGGAGTGAAAGGATTCTCTGTACTACCTAGAGCAAGAATTTAAACAATCAGATGTGCCATTATCGTTTGAATGTACCAAAATAGTTTGGTATCAAAATACCAATAAACATATGAGGTAATCTACGGGTAGTCTCGAAAACATACTTATAAAACGAAAAATAATCTATAAACATGTCTAAAGGGCTTAAGATCTCAAGAGGGAAATAGAACAGCAACGGTTTAAGATATTTTTATCAGAAAAAATACTAGGTCAACGGTGATAGAGGTCTATGTTATGTGATTTAGAATTTGAATATAGAATGTGAGGCAATATGACATTTACGATTTTAATCGTGGACTAATTATAGATTGAAATTTGCTTTTGCTAAAATAAGAATTATCAAATGTTGTGATGCCGTGATACTAATAGGACACGCTTGTGATTTAAAATAGCAAATGTGTTCATATTAATAGAATATTGATTATTATGGTTGGAAAGCAAAGCAAATAGGAAGGCTCCAGCTACTCGTACTTGCTTAATTATTTATGGAAGTATTATGAGCACAAATTTCTAAGACAAACTAATAGTATAGCGATAAATTAACTTTAGACTCTTGTCAGGTACAAAAGAAATTTCGTATAATCTTGTATTTCAGAGATTTTATAGTCTATACGAAGAAATAAGTAATAAACACCATAATAGCACTTGAGTAAAGCGGAGACAGAGTTTGATGCAACCCATAGATTGGCTGCTTCCATAAGACAAACATAATCTTGAGTGGAAATTTGGATGCGTAAAATATGTATAAGCAATCTCAAAAATCGCAATATTCTGCTATCACTTAGTGAGATTATTTGCCAAATTGAAGAAAGTTAAAACTGTTAAGATAGCTCATCTTGAATGCTTTAGAAAAATATAAAAACAGAGGCAGTGTAGTTAGCATCTTAATCAAGAATTAATGAATAAATATAAATACGATTTGGAGCTAGACGTAAAAAAGTGCACCTAAGGAACAGATCCGAAGGATTAGTTGAATGAAGTCGAAAGAGATTGAGCCTTCAACAATGTGAGGAGAAAAAGAGACTAGCTAGGCTTTATATATACATATAAAGTAAAGGCTAGTGTTACATAAATAAGGAATTGAAATCAAATAAAAGGAGAAAAAGTAACAAAAGTTATTAGCTATAATGAGCGACATATATGACAAAGAAAATAAAAGCATCATGTTTTATTCTCAATTTCACGCGAGGGAATTAGAAGAGAACTATCATCTACAGCACCAGAACTAAAGAGAGGTTGAACTAGCAATTATAAAAGAAATATGATTCGAATATATGCATATCAGCATTTTTTGTGGGTAGGATGAATAAATTTGAGAAAATGCTCTTCAGACAAGTCAGACAAGGAATGTGCAGTAGAGTGCTTGAAGGGATATTACCAAAAGATAGGGTCATGAATGCATTGCGGGAAGATGAAAGATGTTTTATGGTTGGAGGAGAGGAAAAGAAGATTATAACAGTTTAGCAATTGGTCCATCGAAAAAATAACAATTACTAAAGTAAAAATTGTCAGGAGTTGGTAACCATAAAATAAGCTTATAACAACAATAAACAGGACATTGAAGTAAAAAAATCTATTCATTTTGGGAAAAGATGCAAATGGCTGTACTAAGTAGGTGATCAGTATAGTCTCATACAGTTATATATATGTATATATAATTATTACATGTGCTACTAATAATTTATTTTGCGGAGGTTCAGATTTCCAAATTCTATATATCACGTAAATAGAGGGAAGTTATGCCGATTTTATCTGAATCAATGAACGTTCAAATGGGAAACAAATGTGATCCCTACCTACCCATTGATGCTTGAGGCTTTGAATGATTCATGGCCAGCGAATGTGCCCCCCAAGAAGATTTATTCCTTTCTATGGAACTAGGGTAGTCGGAGCTCCGCCAAAAGTGAGTCCAGTGGTTCTTTATGGCGCGGCGAAGTGGCATCTGATAGCGCGTTTGCATATAGGGCAAAGGGTAATAGTCACGAATCACCGCGGGGTCATATTCTGTGGTAATCAACATGATGGGACAAAGGAATCAATAAAGCATGGAAATACGCTGACCAGAAGTAAGTGGATGCGAAGCCTAAGACATCAGCAGGGAGTATGATGAAGGAATGGTGATTAGGGCTAATGATAAAAGATTAATGGTCTGACCTCGTTTTCGCAACTTGCTCGTATTGTCAGAAAGGTTCAGTTGGACGTACCTGGCCCGACGTCCTCTGCTATAGTAGCTATCATAATTCCCAGCTTCGGACCGTTTACTTGGTGCATTCGCAGACGTTTCACCGGCATCATAGTCGGCATTATCAGTGAGTCTTGCCATTCTCTGCACCAAGCTACAATGTGTCAATCCATTGAGCGACTATCTGAAAAACGTTTACGCTATCAATCCTCAAGGTGAAAAGACGATCGGTCTTATAATCCCATAGCTAAATAATTAATTGCCGTGCCTTTTTGTTTTTAAGTCAGATCCTACGTAATTACTCTTAAGTTTTTAGAAGTCTTCCGAAGTCATAATCCTGACCAGATCATGCCAGAGCTTTGGCTTAATATCTATAAACTTAAATGGCTTATTCCTCTACATATCATAAGTTTCGCCTAACTTGTGAGTGAAGACCTGGTGAAGAATCTCACTAATCTCATCTGAATGGTAGTGTCTCTTAAGGTCATAGAATCCAGGAGATTGCGTACATGCTTCCAAATGCTTGAGAAATGGCGCCTAGAGTAAAACGTAATCTGGACCCAGAACTGAGTAAATTTAGTCAACTAGTAAGATAAGAAATCAATCTGCTGGATCATGAGGAAGATTTGGATGGGAGGTTCGGGTTGGATAAGCAAATTGAGGAGGAAAGAGGACAAGGTACACAGCAGGTGTGATGAGGCCACACTAAACTCGCCAAAGAATGGCACACCTCTGGATTAGTTAAATACATGCAGGCCAGAAGCTATAATAGGGCAAGAGTGAGATGTGCCAGAGCAATAAGAGGAGTGATATCACAAATGTTTGTCAGATAGCTGGTCAAGGGATTGAGTTTACTTGTCTCTTTGACGAGTTATAGCCTATAACTGAGAATGGCAAGATTCATTGATGATGACGACTGCGATGCCGGCGAAGCGTCTGGGAATGTATCAAGTCCACGGTCCGATGCTGATAATTATGATAACTACTCTAGTAGAGGACATCGGACCAGGTACGTCCAACTAAGTCGCCCTGACAACACGACCAAGTCGCGAAAACGAGGTCAAACCACTACTAGACATCGAAAGAAGACTGCGACTAAAATAGAGGCCACAACATCTTGTTCTTCATACATAAATATAAAATATTAGTATTAAGATAACTTGTTTAGACATAAAGACAAAATTAATAATGAAAAGTGAGATCATTTCTTAAACGCAGTTGCTTGCATTTTAGAAGAAATCGTGAATCCAATGGAGAAACTTAAACCACCACTAGAAACTCTACTCAATGTCTTAGATTACTAAATATTTTTAGTCAGCTTCAAAAAAAATAACCTTACATCATCGTTTTGTAAACGGGGAAGATAATGTTGCATATGGATACATATTAAATGCTCTACCAATATTATAGGCCGATACTAGCTTGGCTTTTGTGTGCGATGCCTCTTACGAACCTCACAAACTTGACTTGAAAAAAATGAAGGAAGGAGGTTTGTAGAGGTCTCGAGTCTGGATTGATTTAACTTATCACTACTATTTTGGAAAAGATAGAAGAGGAAGAAGACCCCAATTAACCTATCATGAAAAAGCATCACGGCTTAACCAATGTTTGGAAACAGTGTTGTGGACATTGCTGCCTTCGAAATGATAGATGAAATTTTATAAAATATAAAGTCTACTATAAAAGGCTTTCGAGGAAACTGGATCATACAAATTTTCTTAGAACGTCTCCGCAATAGCTTAGAATAAAAGAAAAAATGAAATTAGAGGGGAAGGTGCTGGTGTTGCACTCAATTCATTGAAAGAAGAAAGCTGAAGAGTGAGGCAGGAACAAGATTATAGTAGTAGTAGTAAGAGAATATAATCGTGTGAAATTTGATTAGTTGGCTGGTGCCTAGATTACAAGGTCTAGAATCAAGAGGCGGATGCAGATGGATACTTATATATTTGTGAGGGATTGAGCCTAAAGGAGTTCAATACAATGATAAATTAACAAAACGGTAATAGGAATAGATAACTATTATTTACTGGGTAAATCGAGAGGGAAGTAGGCAGGTGGATGGAATGAATAAACAAGTGGGTTAAGGCTTGATATGACTATGTGGATGGGTTTAAGTGGCTAATTTATTAATGAGTAAATAAAAAAACATTTAAGGATTCATGAGATATTTTGTGCATGTAGTTATAGAAGTATGGGAGATTTCGTATAAGTGGCAATAGATAACAGTATGTCAATAAAAATGATTAGTTGCCTCAACTTTTATTAGTATATGAATGAGTTAAAATGTGTTATTGAGTTGTGAAAATATGACTAGTAGTGTGACAGTAAAGATAAGGATAAGTAAATAAAGAGGTTTGGGTAGATTGGAAGATGGCTGTAAAAGGTATTGTGCTGTGGTAAGCAGATGAGTAAGTTGTTGGTACTAAGAATAAGGCATGAGCTGTAAACTAATAACCTAATTTTAGCTGCGGGTGTTCGAAAAATGGTAGTTAAATATAATTAATTATAGAAGTTGTATGACCTTGTTTTCGCGACTTGGTCATATTAGTAGGAAGGTTTAGAAGAACGCATCCAGTCCGGTGTCCATTGTATGCATTATCATTTCCAAAGTCGGACCGTGGACGTGGTACATTCCCAGACGCTTCGCCGGCATCGTCAGTGAGTATCGCCACTCTTAGCACCATACAACTCGTCAAAAAGACAAGTAAGTCTATCCTTTGACCAAACGTTTGCTAAATAGTTGTGATATCTCCCCTTCTGCTCTGAGCTATTCACATTACCTTTATCCTCATATCACGCTTTCACTGTCACAATTCTTTACCCTGCCTATCTAGTTGTAGTGTGGTGTGTTCCTTTGAGCGTTCCTTCATAAAAACCCTTCACACTCCACGCTGTCGTTCTCACCCCCTTCACTCTTGTGCTGGGAATGTTGATCATAGTCTGTCATATTGTTACGCAGTCCTCCTTCCCTGGGTTTTATCACAGTCTCTCTCTTGCCCCGTAAGATCCGTCTACTCTCTCCCTGGTTTACGTATTTCACTCGACCCCTGCCACCCCATCTGTGCCACTCGAGTCGTTATTCGCCCTCTCCTGCGTCTGGGTGACTAATTCGAGGCTGAAGCATCTGAGTAAGTTTCACGGTCAGGCCTTTGCCACATGGACCACGTCTCTTATAAAATATACTGTCAGCCAACTAGCTCCAATCGCCGCCGCGTCTATCCTGTTTCTATCTCTACTACCAAGTCTATGACTTGCTATGCCGTGGTCTCTTGTATGCGAACACACAAATGTTGTGGTACTGTTTGCTTTGAACCACAACGCTTGTGGATTGGCACACAAGAAACTAGTCATAGGAAGTCATAGACTTGGTATTATAAATAGAAAGAGGATAGAAACAGTGGGAGCTAGAGCTAGTTGGCTAAGAATAGTTGTGATTCAAGGAAAACGTCTATGATCAAACACGTCTATTGTTAGCCAAATAGCCTTAGTCTCCAACGCCTCCTTCCTATTTATATCTGTTATGCCATGTCATTCACTTCATACATCATAGTCTCTCGTGTGC